CTATTATTAATATTGTTTTTCTAAAGAACAACTTTATTGGTTTAAAAATTATTCGAAATAATCTTATTATCTATTTGGTTTATAAAAAAAACGGTGTTTTTTTCCCCCACAAAGAAAATTTTTATTCACGATAAAAAGAGCCATTCTCAAAATTTTAAATAAAAAAGTGTATTTTTTTTTAAATAAAACTTATTTTTCATTTAAAAAGGAGTGAAAAAAATTTAAAACCGAAATAAGAATAAAATAATAATAAGAATAAAATTAATTATATAGTGTGGAGAGAAAAGAAAAAGTGTCTCGACATTTTGGTGTCGCGTCAAGAATATCTCAAAATGTTTATAAAAATATTTTTCACCATGAGAATATAAAGTTATTAAATATTTGATATTTTTTAAATCTCTCCCGTCCAAGAGATTGGAAAGAAAAAAAAATAAATTTTTTTTTCTGTTGACGACAAACGGCAATGACACTTGAAAATTTGTCGAGTTTCCGTTTTTAAAAGAAAAGAAGAAAAAATACCATTCACTCTATAGTCTCTATATATAAGAAATATTCAGATTTTTGTTTCTAAAATTTTATTTTTTTCCCCCTAATTAAGTTGAATTCTCGGCCATACCAAAGTATCATGCCCTAATTATTTATATTTAATAACATTTTCTATATTTTTTAATTCTTAAAAAAAATTCTTATCTTTTTAATAATTCACTATCGATTTTTTTTTCTAAGGATTTTTTATACCGATCACTTGCCACGGTACTCAAGTCTCATTTCTTCACAAAAAAAAAAAAAAAAAAAAAAAAAAAAAAAAAAAAAAAAATTGTTAAATATTTACGAAAATTATAAGCTGCACACGTTTTATTGAATTTAAACTTTTAAACTTTCGGCCAATTGGCTTCATTTTGAATTCTGAAATTAGTGAAACTATTAGGCAATTTAATTTTCGAAATTCAATTCGAGCTGAGAATATGAGACATTTTGAGTTGCATACTCGTGCGAATGTGTCTTGTGTGGTCGACCCATTCCTCAAACCCCGTCATCAGTCTTGTTACATTTACTGGGGCTCAAAATTAGGTCACGCACCTTCGGAAGTTCAAAGTGAATTTACATGCTCGAGTTCTAATACATTTTCTGCATTACCAAGTCTAAAACGTCAGCGAATAAACAGTAATCCTCTTAACTGTAAATCCACACGTTTGAATTTCACTTTAATCGCAAGTCTCTCAACTTACAAGAATCATTTCTTATAGAAAAAAAATAATATTTAAAAATATTCAATTTATTTTCAATCAATAAGTTGAAATTTCCCTTTTTATCTACTTTGATTTTCTTTCTTCAATTTTCATTAAAAAAAAAAAAAAAAAAAAAAAAAAAAAAAAAAAAAAAAAATTTATGTAAATTAAAAAAAAGCAATTACCACTTTGGAAAAAATATTTTCTAAACTCTCGCTTTTTTTTGCAGTCAATATTTACGATTTTTTATCAAAGATTTCAGCAAGCAGAGCGCAAGTACTAAATTACTGCCTATTTTTTTTTTACTTTTTACAGTTTAAAAGACCTGTTCATTATATATAATTTCAAGCTATGAGACAGAAGGGAAAAAAAAGTATATATAGGAGTCAGAAGTAATTAAAAACGATTAAATAATTTAGCAAAAAAAAAAAAAAAAAATTTTAAAAGCAAAACGAAGAGAAGAAGGAATTTTCTTTTCATAAACTCATTTCTCTTCGTGTTCTATCAAACTTTTTCTGATAATTTTAACGGTTGAATTAAATTTAAAATTCTCCACTAATTTTTTCTTTTCACCGCACAATTATTTCATTTCCAACAATATTTTCCCAAAGACTTTTACTAATAATTAATTCTCTTTTTTTTTCGGAAAAAAAAAATTTCTGTTTCATTACTGCTTGTAAAAAATTTCATAAATCTTAAAATGAAAATAGAAAAAAAAACTTCTATTCAAAAAAAGTAAATTGTTTTAATTCTTCTCTTCACTCGCAGCATTTCTTTTGTCAGCACCTCGTAAACACGATCAAACTTCATTCACTAAAAACTCGTACCAAAAAAAATTAAATTTTGTTTAAAATCCATTCACTTATTTAAACACAAATATTCAATTCATTTACCGATTGTGTAACAAATTCAGATATTTAATAAAAATATTCATTATATTCAGATATTTAATTAAAAAAAAAAGAAAATATTTATAATTTAAAAAAAAAAATTTAATATCAAAACTAAAATTGCAATATGGAATTTTCAAAAATTGCCACAATGACTGGACAGTCAATTTATAAGAAAAAAAAATTTTAACGCAGTAAAATCCTATTATTCGAATTTTCTCCCTTTTCTTTTAATTTCTACTGATTTAAATATAATTATTTATATTTATAGTAATGAGAAAAATATTTAGACAACATTGAATAATTAAAAGTTGAATTCTAAAAAAAAAAAAAAATTTGTAAAAAGTTTTTAACAAATTTTTCTCTCCACTCAAATTATTTATCCGAGCGGAGAAAATTCAGAAAATTCTCATTAAATAATTTTTTTTATTATAAATTGACATAGAAATTATTTAGAAAGAAAAATCTTTACTTGACACGCATAAATATTTTACCAAATTTCCATTTAATTGATTGAAATAAAAATTATTTGATTTAAAAGTAAATATTTATTTAATCGGTTTTTTTTTTAATTAAATAAATATTGTTCCAGTCTAAATTCGTAAATATTCGATTTAAATACATAAAAATTCAAATTTAATTTAAGTAAATATTTAAATTTATTTAGTAAAGTTTATTATAATAAATTTTATTTGAAAAAAAAATTTTAGTTAGTAAATATATTAAAATTGTCAATATTGAAAATTTGGCGAAAAATTTTTCTTGCGTTCTAATCGATTTTTCTTTTATTGCAAAATAATGTCCCAAAAAAAGAAGGATAATTTTTCTTTTCTTTTTTTTTTTGCAATTTTTCCCAGCGATAGAAAGCGAGAGACGCATTATGATCAAAAGATAAACATGCATAAATTTTCGAAATAGAGGAAGACATGCAGGTTTTTTTTTCTCTTTGTTTTTGGACAAGCTTAGAGCACATTAATTCCAAAGTTGATGCACAATCTTTGATGTGTCGCAAGCAAATGAAATATTTGACATTGTATTTTACGATTTTTTTTTTTTTTACTTTTATTATTAAAAAGAAAGGAAAAAGTGCATCGAAAGTCTATTTAATGGATTACGAGTATAAAGCCATTGCGAAAAGAGTTCATAAAAGAGAATCAATGAGAAATTACTTTCAAATAAATAATTTAATTTTGACAGAATTTTGATTATTTAAAAATTTTTGAAGGCTGAAATTAAAAAGCTGATAAATTACAGGACTTAATTAGCAATAAAGCTAATTAGCAAAATTTTTATACAAAGCAAAACAATTTTATTTTTCCATCAACGATTTTGCCAAAATGAAAAAATTGGTTCACGGCGAAGAAACTTCTCAACGGCTTTCGTTTAACATTATGTACAACATTGTTATCGCTACTTTGTTATGTACAATTAAATATTAATAGAAAAACTCTTTCTTATTTTCTAGGAAAAAAAAAATCGTATAAATAGATGTTTCGAGTCGTTTCTCACTAATAATTATAATAATAATAATTATTATTTATTATTACATATATAAGCTAGCGTAACGTGTTTTACTTTCTCGACAAAATTGTAATATTATATAAGATAAGTGCAAAACGACATTAGAATAAATGATTCGTAACATCTTACTACACTTTTTTTTCTTTCTAATATAGATATAATCAAGGCCAACTGATGCAGAGGAGCAGGCAGTTGGAAACATTTATTTTGTGTTTATATAAGACACGATCACCGTACATTTGATATATATATATAATAAATTGGCTGAAAATCGATGGATGGAACATGCAATTAGTCAGTGTTTGTTTAAATTCGCTTTTTTTGGAAAATTCTCCATAAATACAAAAAGCGTCTTTTATTCAATTCAACTCATACTCACAATCCCCAAAACACAAAAAAAATATAAATATAGGTATATTCGTCAAATAATCAATAAAAATTTTTTTGATTTCTTTCTTGATTTCCTTTTTTTTTTGTACAAGTCTACAAATTTCAAAAAATTAAAGAAATTTTTATTATTTTGAATTTTTTGAAGAAAAATCCCTCTAATTTAGTCCAATAATTTGAACTCTCGAAATTGTAAAGAATGAAGATTAAAAAATTGCATTCTTTTAAAAATTGTTTTTAAAAATTGTTTTTAAAAATTGTTTCAAATTTATTATGATTGTGAAGTATGAGTGAAGCGAGAGAAAATTGTGCAGTGAATGAACATCGTTTTCGTTTACCTTCTGCCCAAAAAAGTGTTCATGAAAAGAGCGGCCTAGAAAATAAGCAAAGCGTGTGAAAAAAAAAACTATTTGGCGCATAACCGTCGAGAATTATTGTCTAGAACGGAATAATGCTAATTTGTTAGTAATGCTTTTCTATTTCTTTTTTAAAAAAGGCACTCGTATTAACATTCTATCATTTTTTTTTCAAAAATTTACTATAGAAATAACTCAAAAATTGAGTTAACGGCGACGTCTGTCGGGGTACGATGCGAAGGGCGACCTCAATCATGGTGGACGTTCTTTGCACTGACTAACACCATGCTTTATAACGGTCAAATCGGTTAAAAATCTCAGACTTAGACACACTTTATTAATTCATTTTAGGCTCTGTTTGATGTTTTTTTTGTGTTTTTTTTTGTTTTGCTTTTTCTTTCGCTCTCCAAGCGCAAATCGGAGAGGAAAATTTCTTTTTTAGTTAAATGCAACTGCAAGTCCAAGATGGATGCCCTTCCTTAGGAAAAGCATCCTTCATTAAACTAGTATTAGAATGATAATTTCGTGGATGATCTAGATGGGGCAAACAATTAACAGTCCAAAAAACACGGCCCACATTAGAACGATCCAATGGACGGTGTAAATTGGATTCTCACCGTCTGCGATCTTTCTGGCAACGAATTTAAGTGTTTCATCGAGAAGCACCACCGGTATTGAGAATTTCATTACTGTTATCCATTCCTCTACGGTCAATGGCGTCACTTGGAATACGGACTGAAATAAAAATGTTTTTTTTTTCATGAAATGGATATTGTAAGAATTTGTGAAGAGGAAAAATAAAAGAAAATACTAACCGAGAGAACGTCGATGTATAGAATGACAAAGTGGAGTGTAAATGAAAGTGCCATCGAAGCGATGAGCCATAAATTAGACCACGGTGGCATCGTGATGAGTGACTGATTTTCAGACAAGCTGGAAGATTAATGAAATTAGTAAAATTAAATTTAATATAATTAATAATTAATTAATTAATTAATAATTTTTAATTTTCTTTTTTTTAATACCTGTTCATCGCGTTCAACATTTCAATTGTAACGAGAACGGAGAGAGCCATCGTCATAGGATGAGGATCGTGGAACACTTTGCAATTGACGCCCTTGAATTCTTCTCCTCCTCCAATGCAGGCTAAATGATGGGTCTAGAAAAGAAAATTTCCAAATTAGTAATTTTACAAATTCATGGGACAATAAAATTAATAAGATAATTTTATTAATTTTATATGATAATTATAAAAATGTTCCCCACCAGTTGATAATAGTTCATTTGTGGACCATTGGGACTGTACAAGAACCACCAGGCTGCTGATCCAACGGTTGCAGCGCCGACGTAAAAGCCAATTGCGAGATAACGGAAGAATAGCCAACCGGAGATGAGGGATTCGTCAGCTTTTCGGGGTGGCTATAAACAAAATCGATGTAGTAGAAGAAAAAATTTAATTTAAATTATTAACTAGCAACAATTATTCATAAATTCTTCACTTAAATGAATATGAGAAAATAAAAACTATATAATATTAAAAAATTCAATTAGACTTTTTCAAAAAAATGAATTTCAAAATTCAATTATTTTTTAAAAATTCACGCTATATTGCTTTTAATATTCAATTATTATCTAAAATTTTAACTGAAATTAATTTTCAAATCAATGTTTATGAGAAAATTCTACTAGAATTCAATTATTTAAATACAAAAAAAATAATTTATTGAATAATTGAATAAAATTAAATTCCCATAAAAAATCGTTATCAACAAATTTTCAAATAATTGAATTCCATCAACGAATTTTAATAAAATTTCTAAAAATAATTACATTCTTCGAGAAATTTGATTAAAATTGTATTAAAAATAATTGAAATTCTGCAAGAAATTTTTATTACTTGTGAAAATAATTATTGAATCCCTAAAAAAAATATTATAACTCTTGCACAATATTTAATTTTTGAGAAGAATATTATTACTCTTGAAAATAATTGAATTTTTACAATATTATCTAACTTTTACAAAATTGAATTTTTTTTCTTGTTTTTAACTAAAACATCTTCTATAAATGCATTATTTTTAATAATTTTTAAAAAAGTTCTTTAAGAATTTTTAAATTCATTTGTTTACAATTAAATTTCACAAAATTTCAATTATTCGAAATTGCTCAATTAAATATATATATATATTAGAAAATAAAAAATTAATTAAAAAAAAAATCCGCAATTAAAGTTTCTTAAAAAAAATTAATTCCACAGAATTGTTAGTTAAAAATATGAAAAATTCAAATTTTCAAAGATTTTAATCTGGAAACTTTTGAGAATTTAATTATTTCTAAAAATTTACGCTCTAATGCTTTTAATATTCAATTATAATTTGATTAATTCAATTTTATTAAAATGTAATGATACTAATTGAATTTCTGCAAAAAAATTTACTATTTATAAAAGTAATTGAATCCATCCAAAGAATTTTAATACATATTTATGAAAATAATTAAATGTTTGAGTAGAATTTAATTAAAATTTTTGAAAATAATTGAATTGTGGAGAACAGTTTAATTATTTATAAAGATAATTGAAATTTTGAGGAGAATTTAAAAACAATTTTAAACATAAATTGAATTTCTGCAAAGAATTTTATTACTTTTGAAAATAATTAAATTCTTGTGAAGAATGTATTTTAAACTTTATTTCTCAATTATTAAATTAAAATGCTTTGAAAATTCGATTTGTTAAAAAGTTTTTAATGAAATTCTTTAACAAATTTAATTATTTTCAGTTGAATTTCACAAAATTTCTATTAATTCAATAATTTGCTTTTAAATTTATGCACATACTATATTTAAATCAGTGACTGGTTTTTTACTATCAAATTAATTATTTTTAACTAATTCAAATTTAGAGAACAGTATAAATATTTATAAAAAATTGAAATAAATTCCGGTTATTAGACACGCTGGATTAATATAGTTAATTTTTTTAAAATAGTACCTTGCTCATAATGTCAAGATCGGGGGGATTGAAACCAAGAGCTGTTGCTGGAAGACCGTCAGTAACAAGATTGACCCACAAGAGTTGAACAGGAATCAAAGCTTCGGGAAGACCAAGAGCGGCAGTCAAGAAAATACTATTAAACAAAAAAAGCAAAAGTTAAAAATCTATATTCAAACTATAAACGAACTTAAAAGCACAGAAACAAACCTGACGACTTCACCAATGTTGGAAGAGATAAGATAACGGATGAATTGTTTCATATTATTGTAAATAGCACGGCCTTCCTCGACAGCAGCCACAATGGAAGAGAAATTGTCATCAGCCAACACCATCTCTGAAGCTGATTTAGCGACAGCAGTTCCGGATCCCATGGCAATACCAATTTCAGCCTTCTTTAAAGCTGGAGCATCATTAACACCGTCACCAGTCTATTTTCAAAAAAAAATTATACCATCAAAAGTTTGATCATCAATCTTCAAATTATCCTTATAATAAAATTCTTACCATGGCAGAAATTTCGTTCATGCCCTGCAAGAATTCAACGATTTTCGATTTATGAGATGGTTCAACTCGAGAGAAAAGTCGCGCTCTGGCGCAAGCTGCCTTTTGCTCGCTCAATGGCAAATCATCGAATTCACGTCCAGAATATGATTTTCCAGTGGTGTCCTCATCCTCGCCAAAAACACCAATACGTCTGCAGATAGCTTCAGCTGTTGCCTTATTATCGCCAGTGATAACAATGACACGAATTCCAGCCGCACGACATCTGACAATTGAATCAAAAACTTCTTTTCGAGGTGGGTCCAACATTCCCACGACACCAACGAATGTCAAATCTTTCTCGTACGTATAGAATTTAGTCGAATCACCAAGATCCATTTCGTCTGGTTTCATTGGATGATCAGCTGTCGCAAGAGCAAGACAACGAAGTGTATCACGTCCCGTACCATATTGACGTGTAAGATCGAGAATACGATTTTTCAATGTCGACGTAAGTGGGAATCTCTGTGAACCAATACGTGCGTGTGAACATCTATCTAAAACACCTTCAGGCGCTCCCTTAACGAACAATTTTGGGCCACTACCAAGTTTTGTCGTTCTCAATGGCACACAATATGAGGACATTGATTTACGATCACGTGAAAATTCAAGTGTAAATTCCTTCTTCCATTTTGTTTCCAAATCTTGACGGACAACAATAGCGCTTGTACGACGATCGAGACCAGTTTTTGGAACACCGAAAGGATTCACTTTCTCCGCCAGTACAATTAAAGCAGTTTCCGTCGCCTCACCGACCTTTTCAAAAGCTTGTTTAAATTCATTAAAATCAATCGCCGAATCGTTACACATTATACAAATTGTTCCCATTTCATGTAGTGTCTCATAATCCTGACCCTTAATCTTCTGTCCTTTTAGAAAAACATCACCAATTGGCTCGTAAGTCGAACCAGTGATTTCAAATTCATGAAAACTACTGTCATTACCCTCAATCTTTTCAAAGACAAACATGCTGTAAATAAAAATATCACCATTAGCACAAGCCGAGAATCAGTGAAAGTATTTAAAAATACGGACACTTTACGGACCAAAAATGAAAAATTACGGACCATTTATGAATTTACTGACAAAAAATATTTTAACCAGTCCGAGACAAATAAAAAAACATTATAACTAAAACTATAAATTAAATTTTTCATAACAAATAAAACATGAAGATATCGATAACTTCGAGAAAAGAAATTTCAATTATTCGTAAATTTTTCAATTAAAAAAATATTAGAAAATAAAAACTTAAAATAATATATAAAAAAAATGCAATTTAACTTTTTCAAAAAAATTAATTTCAAAATTCAATTATTTTTTAAAAATACAAGCTATATTACATTTAATATTCAATTATCTAAAATTTTAACTGAAATTAATTTTTAAATCAATTTTTATTTAGAAAATTCTACTAGAATTCAATTATTTAAATACAAATAAAATGCAAATAAATAATTTATTGAATAATTGAATGTTTCTTAAAATTCAATTCCCATAAAGAATCGTTATCAACAAATTATCAAATAATTCAATTCCATCAACGAATTTTAATAAAATTTTTAAGAATAATTACATTTTTCGAGAAATTCGATTGAAATTGTATTAAAAATAAATAAATAATTGAAATTCTGCAACGAGTTTTATTATTTGTGAAAATAATTGAATCCCTAAGAAGAATTTTATTACTTTTTGAACAATATTTAATTTTTGCGAAGAATATTATTACTCTTGAAAATAATTGAATTTTTACAATAATTTCTAACTTTTACAAAATTAAATTTTTTTTCTTGTTTTTAACTAAACATCTTCTATAAATCCATTATTTTTAATAATTTTTAAAAAAGTTTTTTAAGAGTGTTCAAATTCATTTGTTTATAAATTTAATTTTACAAAATTTAAATTATTCACAAATTCTTTAATTAATAATATATTAGAAAATAAAAATTTTTAATAATTTAAGAAAAATCCGCAATTAAAGTTTCTGAAAAAAAAATTAATTCCACTGAATTGTTAGTTAAAAATATGAAAAATTCAAATTTTCAAAGATTTTAATCTGAAACCTTTTCAAAATTCTATTATTTTAAAAAATTCACGCCATATTGCTTTTAATTTCAATTAATATCTAAAATTTTAACTGAAATTAATTTTTAAATCAATGTTTATAAGAAAATTCTACTAGAATTCAATTATTTAAATACAAATAAAATGCAAATAAATAATTTATTGAATAATTGAATGTTTCTTAAAATTCAATTCCCATAAAGAATCGTTATCAGCAAATTTTCAAATAATTGAATTCCATCAACGAATTTTAATAAAATTTTTAATTGTATTGAAAATAATTAAATCCCTAAAAAGAATTGTATTATTTGAAAAAAAATTTTTTTTTTAGTAGGGGAATGTAGTCAAGGTTGGCCTACTGTCTAGGTAGGCCACTCGCGTTTTTTTGTCAAGTTCACTAGCGCCACCTACGCGCATTTTTGTCGAAGCTTGTCTTAGTGAAACCTAACTTTTTGTTCAATTACATTTTCGGAAAATCGAAAATTGTGTTTTCTGTGACGTCGGTACAAAAAAAGCTCAAAAAAAGTTTTGTGCATAATGTGAAAAACCATTAATAAACGATAAAAAACAAATTGAATCGTCAAGGCAAGTATGCAGAAAATTTGTGGGACTCATGGTTGAAAGAAAAACAAAGTAAAAAATCGAATCCCGAAACGTATTTCTTTATGGTTACAACAATTCGGTAATGTTACTTACTGTCAAGGTCGGCCACTATGTGTTTAAAATGCGCAAAGTTGAGGACGAGCTACTTCATTTGAAAAAACTGCAATTCTGTATAACTCATAATATAATTGATCATCTTATTAATATTTTTATTTAATTTTATTAATATTTTAGTGCAAAACTTTTTTTTATTTATATTTATTTTTTTATATTGTTTATTGTTATTATTTTGTTATTTCATTAAGTTACAAACTGTAAACAATAAAGAATCAATTTTCCGTAACTCCAAACATGTTATTTTATTTTTTAACGATTAATGCCCTTTGAATTTTAAACATGGCCGACCTTGACTGTAATGGCCAACCTGGACTACAAATTTTTTTTTTTTTAAATCTTTATAACTTTTTCATTTTTAAACCTGTCAATTTACTTTGTACAGAAAAAATGTTCCTATTAAACAGGACTTTCCAACCATATACTTCAATTGTCCAAATTCATTTTTAAAAAAAAGTTATAAACAAAAGTCAAAAAGGTGGCCGACCTAGACTATGTTCCCCTATTATAAAATTTCTGTGAAGAATGTTATTACTCTTGAAAATAATTGAATTCAGGGAAATTTTTGAAAAATAATTGAAATTTCGACAAGAATTTTATTAAAATTTTTGAAAAATAATTAAATTTCAGAGAAGAATTTTATTTCTAAATATAACTGAAAATTTGACAAGAATTTTTTTTTATTATTTGTAATTAAATTTCTGCAATCAAATAATAATTTGTAATTTCTCCAAAATTAAATTTTTTTTAGCGTTTTTAACTAAAATTCATCTAATAAATCCATTATTTTTAACAATTTTTGAACAAGTTTTTTAATAATTTTCAAATTCATTTGTTTGCAAATCAATTTCACAAAATTTCAATTATTCGTAAATTCTTCAATTAAATATATATTAGAAAATAAAAATTTTAAATAATTTAAAAAAAAATCGGCAATTAAAGTTTCTTAAAAAAAATTAATTCCACTGAATTGTTAGTTAAAAATATGAAAAATTCAAATTTTCAAAGATTTTAATCTGAAACATTTTCAAAATTCAATTATTACTAAAAATGTACGCTCTAATGCTTTTAATATTCAATTATAATCTAAAATTTTAACTGAAATACATTTTTAAATCAATGAATAATTTCATGTTTCTTAAAATTGAATTCTTATAAAGAATTTTATCTATAAATTTTTAAATAAGTAGTAAGTAAGTAAGTTTATTTAACATATATAATTGAATTCTTTTGACGAAATTTAATTTTTAATTGTATTGAAAATAATTGAATCCCTAAAAAGAATTTTATTATTTAAAAAAAAAAAATTTTTATTATTTTAAAATTTCTGTGAAGAATTTTATTACTCTTGAAAATAATTGAATTGAGGGAAATTTTTGAAAAATAATTGAAATTTTGACAAGAATTTTATTAAAATTTTTGAAAAAAATTGAATTTCAGAGAAGAATTTTAACTGAAATACATTTTTAAATCAATGTTTACGAGAAAATTTTTCTAGAATTCAATTATTTTTAAATACATAAATAACAATTTATTGAATAATTGAATGTTTTTAAAAATTGAATTCTCATAAAGAATTCTATCTATAAATTTTTAAATAACTGAATACTTTTGACGAATTTTAATAAAATTTTTAAGAATTTTTTCTAGGAATTCGATTAAAATTAAAATTGTATTAAAAATAATTGAAATTCCGCAATGAGTTTTATTATTTATGAAAATAATTGAATTCATGAAATGAATTTGATTAATTACGAAAATAATTGAATCCCTGTAAAAATTTTATTATTTATGAAAATAATTGAATGATTGCGAGGAAATTTATGAAAAAAAATTTGTAAATAATGAAATTCCTGTGAAATTTTTATTATTTTTTGAAAATAATTAAAAGTTTGTGTAGAATTTTCATAAATTTTTTTTTTTAAATAATGAAATTATTTTGGAAAATTTTATGAAAATAGAAGATATTGAAAATCATTGAATTGAGGAAACTTTTTGAAAATAATTGAAATTTTGCCAAAAATTTTGAATCAAAATTTTTGAAAATAATTGGATTTCGGAGTAGAATTTAATTATTTCTAAAGATAATTGAAATTTTGTCGAGAATTTATAAAAATTTTTTAACAGAATTGAATTTCTGCGAAGAATTTTATTACTTTTGAAAATAATGGAATTTCTGCAATCATTTATAATTTCTCTAAAATTATCCAAATTATATCGTACAATTTACCATTGTTTCATCCTTTTTGAATCAAATTACAAACTTTACGGACCTTCTTTCAAAAAAACGGACTTTTACGGACTTTGAAAATATCACTTACCGACTGACTGACATTTGATTTGTCGTTAAAGTTCCAGTTTTATCGGAACAAATAACTGATGTACAACCAAGTGTTTCAACAGATGGCAAAGAACGAACAATTGCGTTCTTCTTGGCCATTCGTCTTGTTCCTAAAGCCAAACAGGTGGTAATGACGGCTGGTAAACCTTCTGGAATGGCGGCGACAGCTAAAGCGACGGCAATCTTGAAATAGTAGATTGCACCCTTAATCCAGGAACCACCGTGCGCTGGATCATTGAAATGACCAATGTTAATGGCCCACACAGCCACGCAAATCACAGAAATAACTTTAGACAATTGCTCGCCAAATTCATCCAATTTTTGTTGCAATGGTGTTTTAATTTCCTCTGTCTCGGACATTTCTGTTCGAATTTTACCAATGGCAGTATTCAATCCAGTTCCAATGACAACACCACGTGCTTTACCAGCAGCAACATTTGTTCCCGAGAAAAGAATATTTTTCTTGTCCTAATTTTTTTTTTTTTAAAAAAAAGCCATTAGTTTTCGCATTTAATCAAAAAATTTTACATTAAGAATGAATTAAAAATTTTTCTAAAATCTTCAAAACTTGACAAACCTGATTGACAGCCCTAGGATCTGGAATGGCGTCTGTGTGTTTTATAACTGAGACCGATTCACCAGTCAAAATGGATTGATCAATCCTAATGGTGGTGGAGAAAATTTTCGTTAATCGAATATCAGCTGGAATTTTATCACCGACTGATATTTCAACAATGTCGCCGGGGACAATTTCCTTTGCTCGAATCCTTTGAACACCGGATTTATCACTTCTGACGACTTTACCCATTTCGGGCTCGTATTCTTTAAGGGCTTCAATAGCCGACTCTGCATTGCGTTCTTGCCACACACCAACGACGGCATTGGCAATAAGAATGAGCAAAATAACGAATGGTTCGACAAACGCCGTGAACGCATCATCATGCTCTTCAAATAAAGCTAATACCTGAAAAGAATTTATTTTGAAAATTAAATTTTTTTCTTAACTTTCATGAATTTCTTCTTTAAAAAAAATTTCTTCTCTAAAAAAAAAAAAAAATTACTTACGAAAGAAATAATAGCGGCTAATAGAAGAATCTTAACTAGAAGGTCGTCGAATTGTTCCAAGACGAGTTGCCAGATGGATTTTCCTGTAAGCAAATGGAGAAAAAAAAATTATTACAACAACAAAAAGAGATGCATTATAATTTTTTTCTACTTTTTTTTTTTTTTTATTGAAACAACTAATACGACGAGAAATTAAAAAAAGAATTTACGTCACAGGCAACTCAACGCGAAGTCCGCCTTTAACGTCACGCTCGAATAAGTACCTCATATTGACAAGCTCTCTGTTAATAATAAACGCTTAGAATCCTTGGACTTCAGTGTCACTGGCCAAAAACCTTGGCGCAAGAAATAGTATATTTCAAGAAACTGGTATCGTTTTAACACCGTTTTGTTATCTAATTATTGTTGGAAATGCCAAACAATTTTTGTGCCGTTGACTATTTTTAATGCGATTATACATCTAGCACTTAATAGGATTAGCAGAATTAACAGCGTGCGGCATTGAAAATCGCTAGTTATAATTTGGAATGCTTTCAGGAAACTTTCGAAACATTTTTGCCACATATATATGAATATACAAATTAATACAGGATGTCTACTATTTTCGTTCAACAAAATTCCTGGCTTTGTCCTAATTTTTCCCAGTTATTTTCTTCTCATTAAATTTAAATTTATTTAATTTCGAACATAAATAATTCTACAAATGTCTTCCAAAATTTTTATTAGAGTTTTTATTGAATAATTAAATTCTTTTGACAAGTTTCTTAAAATTTTTTGAAAATAATGTATTTTTTAAGAATTTTAATTAAAAATTTGGAAAATAATTTCATTTATTGTAAATAATTGAATTAAAGAAAGAAATTTTTTGATTTTTTAAAATTATCTTGTCTGTTCATAATTATAATTGAAAATTTGATTAATTCAATTTTATTAAAATGTATTGATAGTTGATACTAATTGAATTTCTGCAAAAATTTTTACTATTTATAAAAGTAATTGAATCCTTCCAAAGAATTTTATTAAATATTTATGAAAATAAATAAAGAATAAGAAATAATAAAAAAAATAATTAAAAAAAATTAAAAAATTAAATTAATTAATTAATTAATTTAATTAATTAATTGTTTAATTATTATTTAAAATAATTAAATGATTGCGTAGAATTTTATTAATATTTTAAAAAATAATTGAATTGTGAAGAACAGTTTAATTATTTATAACAATAATTGAAATTTTGAGGAGAATTTAAAAAAAATTTTAAACATAATTGAATTTCAGCGAGGAATTTTATTAATTTTGAAAATAGTTGAATTGTTTTTTAGAATTCTATGGAAATTTATAAAAATAATTAAATTCTTGTGAAGAATATATTTGAAAAATAATATTCAAAAGAATTTAGTAAACAAGAATTTTTCTATTAATGGAAATCATTAAATTCTTGAGAAGAATTTTTTTTACAGTTTCAAGAAATAATTGAATTCTTTAGACGAATTTTAATAAAATTTGTAAGAATAATTACATTTTTCGAGGAATTTGATTAAAATTGTATTAAAAATAATTGAAATTCTGCAATGAGTTTTACTATTTATGAAATAATTTAAAATGCATTGAAAATTCGATTATTCATTTTTAGAATTTTCAACTAAAATTCTTCTTTAAGTCACATTTCTTAAAAATAATTTTTGAAAAAGTTCTTTGAGAATTTTCAAATTCTTTTTTTTACAATTTAATTTTACGTAATTTCGATTATTCTGACATTTTTCAATTAAGAATATTGGAAATTAAAAACATGAAATAATTAAAAAAAATCCATTAAACTTTAAAAAAAAAATTAATTCTGCAAAATTCTTAATTAAAAGTATGAAAAGTTCAAATTTTCAAAGATTTTAATTTGAAACCTTTTAAAAATTCAATTATTTCTAAAAATCTACTACTTATTTCTAAATAGAAAAATAATTATTTTATTAAATAATTGAATGTTTCTTAAAATTGAATTTTCATAAAGAATTTAATCAACTTAAATAATTAAATTTTCTTGACAAATATGAATAACATTTTTAAGAATAATTTCATTTTTCGAGAAATTTAATGAAAATTGTATTAAAAATATTTGAAATTCTGCCAAGAATTTTATTAAAATTTTTAAAAATAATTGAATTTCGGAGAAAAAATTTATTATTTATAAAGATAATTTTTTTTTAATTAACTTACAACGTGATTTTTACGAATTTTATCAAAATTTTCGAAAACAATTGAATTTCTGCAAAGAATTATATTTACTTTTGAAAATAATTGCGAATTCTTGATACGAATTTCATTAAAATTTCTTTTTAAATAATTGAATTCTTTTGTGAAATTTTATTGAAATAATACAAATTGAAAATAATTGAATTTTGACAAAATTTATTAAAATTATTTTAAAAGAAATTCAATTGTTACAAAGAATTTTATTAAAATTTTTGAAAAAATTTAATTAAAAAAGGAATTGAAAATATATACAAAGGTTTTTTAAATAATTGAATTCTCTTGACAAATTTGAATAAAATTTTTAAGAATAATAATTTCATTTTTCGTGAAATTTAATGAAAATTTTATTGAAAATAATTAAAATTCTGCGATGAGTTACATTTTTTATAAAAATAATTGAATCCCAGTAAAAAAAGGTTATTTATAATAATAATTTGTAAATAATGGAATTCCTGGGAAATTTGTATTATTTATGAAAATAATGAAATGTTTGCGTAGAATTTTATTAAAATATTTTTTAACTAATTGAATTCTTTTGGGAATGTTTATTAAAGTAGTAGATATTAAAAATCATTGAATTGAGGAATGTTTTTAGAAATAATTAAAATTTTATCAAGAATTTTATTAAAATTTTTTGAAAATAATTTAATTTTGGAGAAGAATTTGTCTATACTTTTGAAAATAATTGAATTTCTGCGATAATTTCTAATTGCTTGAAAATTCAATTTGTTTTAGTGTTTTTTATAATTTTAACTAAAGATCTACTTATGAAAATTGTTAACGCAAATCTTTTAAAATTGAATTAATTTTTAAATATTTAAGTGTAAAATTAGATTTCTAGAATAAACACAATAACTTTAGAAAACAACAATTTTCCTGTTTTTCGATCAAAATTTCCTGACTTTTCCAGGTTTTTTCAAGGTTTATAAAATTTCCTGGCATTTCCAAGTTTTCCAGGTTTCCAGGTTACGTGGCAACTCTGACTTTAACTTTCGAAATTGTCAAAATTGTAATTAATTTTTATTTTTGTAAATACATTGGCATAAGAAAGAAAATAAGAATGCAAGAGTCTAATGACAAAAAGAATGAAACTCGAGACAGTGCTGTGGTAAATCTTATGACCTTGTTTAGTAAGTGCCTTTGCCATCAGCAATTGACGTCATATTGTTCCTTGGTCTACGTTTACCGATTTCATTAATTACAATTTAGTGATGAGACTAGAAAAAACGATTAAAAAACTGAGTCAACTTTTAATCAAAGAAAGTGTAAGACGCATACGATTCAAATCATTTGGTCACTTAATTCTTTTTTTTATTTCTTCCAAAATTCTACTGTAAATGTTCAAAATATTTAAAAGATAGAAAAAATGTTGCTCCATTTTTTTCTACAATTAAATGCTATAGTTATTTTGGGAATTTCTTTTGAAAATCTTTTTTTGAAGTAATTATCAAAATAGCTTGTAAATTGAGATCTAGGTACAATTATTTTAGGTGTAGAAAACTCAAAAAACTCAAAACTCAAAAGAATTTCGAATTCATTTTAATACTTCTTGTCAAATTTTTTTTTTAATACCTACTTAAAATATAAAGATTTTCAAAAAAAATTCCACAGAGATGAAAGTTACTGTTTTTCTTCTTAAAAATAAGTTCTTCAAAAAGCGCTATTTTTAAACCTCCAAAAGCATCACTCCCTTCAAAAAAAAATTTATTTTTTTTTTTTTTTGAGAACTTAAAACGCTTTTATCTCGAATCTTCATTTTCAAAATCGGGAACGTGATATTTCTAAAAATAGAGAAACGATTTTTCTAAAATTCAACACTTTTTTTTAAATTAGATTCACTTGGAGGTGGTTGAAGGATTTTTACTTTTAATGTTTAAAACTCGTTTTTCAAAAAAAAAAAAAAAACAATTGATTGAAAAAAATGCTTGACTTATTATATTATTTCTTTTCTTCTTTAATTTTTTAATTTCTATTATTTTTCTACCTTTATTTATCAGCCATTTTGAATTTGTTAAATAAAATTTCAAAATCATTATTAAATGACCAAAAATTCTATCAAATTCTGAATATTTATTATTTTTTTTTAAATTTGTTGCGGTCATATTGGATCCACCATTTTGAGTTTGGAAAAAAAATAGTGGAATTTTTCTTAGCAAAAATCACTAATTTTAATCGATGACTTACAAATTGACATCGAAAATCGCGATATTCTCAAAACAAAAATTCTAATCTTGTTAGAAATAAGAAGGATTTTTAGAATATTCAGGCTTCGAACTCGATAATTAATTTTAAAAAAGTATCAAAAAGTAGCTTAATGACAGAAAAAAAGTAGTAAAAAATTAGCTATAAAAAAAAACTAGAAGACTCAATTTTTTTTATAATTTCTTAATTACATTCAAAAATAGAAAAAATTTATAAAATAAATATTTAAATACCTATTTATTTTATCCACAAGAATTAAAATATTTCAAATGATTTCAATGTAGGTAAAGCATTTTTGAAATTTAACTATATTTCTAAAAAATACAAAAATAATTCTTTCAAAATTCAATTATTTTTTTTTCTTTTGAAATTTATAAATAAAATTATTCAAAGAAACAAATTATAGGTATTAAATTTTTCTAAATAATTGATTTTTTCAAGGAATTGAAATTAAATTTTTAAGAATAATTACATTTTTCGAGTAATTCATTTAAAATTGTATTAAAAATAATTGAAAATTCTGCAGTGAGTTTTATTATTATTTATCATAATAATTGAATTCTTGCAACAAATTTTATTAAACTTTTTAAAAATAATTGCATTTTTGAGAAGAATTTAAAAAAACTCTTTTCAAAAAAATGATTTTTTTTAAAAAATTTAATGAAAATTCTGTTTTAAATCCTGATTTTAAATAATTGAATTTCTTTTGCAAATTGTTTATTATTTATGAAAAATAATTGAATTCTTTCAAAAAAATTTTTATTAAAATTATATTGAAAACAATTTAATTATTATAAAGAATTTCATTAAAGTTTTTTAAAATAATTAAATTTTACAAAGAATTCTATTAAAATTTTTGACAATAATCGAACGTCTGTGTGGTATTTTATGAATTTTTTTTGAAAAAAATTGAATTCTTGCGAACGATTATATTAGAATATTTTAAAATAATTGAATTACCGAGAAGAAATTTATTACTTTTAAAAATAATTGAATTCTTGTGATGAATATTGTTATTTATGAAAATAATTGAATTTTGCAGAGTATTTTATTAAAATGCCTCAAAATAATTGAATTTTAGGGAATAATTTTGTTATTTATCGAATTTTTGTCAAGAATTTTATTAAAAACTAAAAGAAAAATTTAATTATTTCAAAAAAATTTAATTACAATATTGTATTCATTTTAAAATAATTGATTTCGTTCAAACAATTTTATTGAAATATTTGAAAGTAATTGAATTTCTGTGAAAAATTCTAATTTCATTGTAAATAATTGATTTTTTCGAGGAATTGAAATTAAATTTTTAAGAATAATTACATTTCTCGATCAATTCCTGTAAAATATTGTATTAAAAATAATTGAAATCCTGTTATGAGTTTTATTATTTATGAAAAATATTGAATAGTTGCTAAGAATTTTATTAAAATTTTCAAAAATAATTGAATTCCTGAGAAGAATTTTATTATTTATGAAAATAATGGAATTATTGCGAAAAATTTTATTAAGGGCATTTGAACCATTATGACGTCATAGGTTCTGCAAAGCATGTGTTTTAAGGCTGTGACGTCATCATGGTTCAAATGCCCTTAAAATGTTTAAAAAGAATTGAATTTCTTTGAAAAATTTTCTTATTTTTGAAAATAATTATTGAATTCTTGCGAAGAATTTTATAAAAATCTTATTTAAATAATTGATATTTTTCGAAAAATTCTAGGGGAATTTTGTTTTCAATAATTGAATTTCAGTGGAAATTTTTGTTATTTATGAAAATAATTGAATGTTTGCAAAGAATTTTATAAACATTTTTTTTTAAATTATTCAATTCTTTTGGGTAAATTTTTTATTAAAATAGTTGATATTAAAAATCATTGAATTACGAAAAATTTGTAAAAATAATTGAATCATTTTAAAGAGTTTTATTAAAATTTTCTGAATTTGTTCCAAATTTGATTAGAGTATAAGATTTCAAAATTAAATTTCATGTCAAATGTTTTTAATATTTAAAATTTAAACATTGTACACAGTTTATAAAAAAAAGACGACCTAGGTACTCATGTCAGTTCACATAAACTCCATTGGATAAAAGTTGACCTAGTTCGATAGCGACAAATCCCATGTCATTTATAAATTTCTTTTTCTTCGATAATGTCAGAAACTCCAATGTATTTCGATCAAAGAAACGTTTTGTATTTTTTTTTCTTCTTTCTTTTTCCTTCAAAACCAACAGTTTCATCAAATTTTCAGTTTCAATAGTCATTCGAAACATATTTTCTCTTCGAATGAAAGTTTCATCTTTTATTTTCAATTTGGAAAATTAAAGGGAAAAGAAAGGAATCTCCTTCGAAAAATACATTTCTGATTGAAAAGTTTTTTAATTTTCAGCAATAAAGGAAGAAAAATTAAATATTTTATTTTCGCTGCAATTAATCAGAAGTCTGATGATGCAAAATGAAAAGAGAGAGAGAGAGAGAGAGAGAGAGAGAGTACCTTGACGTAAATTCAAACAGCTGTTTGAGAAAACTTGGCACACTTCCTCACAAGATCCTTATCTTGTTACGTCATCAATTCAATATTAATCGTTCAATTAGAAAATCGTTAAATTTAATTAGAAATATTAAAAATATATTTTCATTAAAAATGTATTTTAACTTTTTAATAGAAATTACTTTCCTTTTAATTCCCGATTCTTTCAAAAAAGCAAAGTGATCAAATGAACTTTGTTTTTTAATTAAATTTTTGCATATAAAAAAATGTCTGCAATTTTTCCACGAATCGTAAATTGAATAGTAAAAGAAGACTTAATAGGATTTCGATTTTTTACTTTTTCAATTTTTTTTTAACACGCCAAGATTCAAATCAATATTCACTGCTTACTATCTAGAACAATACATCTTTAAAAAAAAAAATTTTTTCTAAATTTAACGGAAAAAAGCTTCTTCTTGAAATTAAATAAAAAAAAAGCAATTTTTATAGATAAATTTAAAAACGCTCCTCATCTTTAAGAGCGAATAATTCTTTTAATATTTGCCCTCACGTTTTTCCCATCATAAATTCAATATATTATTGAAATTCCTTTCATTCATAAGAATTTAAATCGCTCTGAAAATTCATTTCATGGAAATTTAAAGGAGCAAAAAAGAAATAATTAACGGATTTAAAATTAATAATCAGGGTGTCTATTATTTTCGTTCAACAAAATTCCAGGTTATTTCCCAGCTTTGTTCTAATTTTTTCAATTTTTTAAAAAATCTTGTCTATTCATAATTATAATTAAAAATTTTTTAAATAAATGAATTCTATTAAAAATTTTTTTTTATTTATGAAAATAATTTAATGTTTGCGAAGAATTTTATAAACTTTTTTTTTAAATTATTCAATTCTTTTGGGTAAATTTTTTATTAAAATAGTAGATATTAAAAATCATTGAATTACGAAAAATTTGTGAAAATAATTGAATTTCAATTATATCAAAATTTTTCAATTATTTGTTTATAAAAATTCAATTATCTTGAAGCAACAGAATTGAAAAATTTCAAAAATCTTATTTTTCATAATTTTCAAAAAAACTTGGCGAAAATTCAATTTTATTAAAAAAATTTAAGTATGTGTATATTTTTTTTAAATTAACTAATAAATATTTTAATTATTAATCTTCGCACTAAGAAACATGAATACATATTAGAATGTGACTCTTTATAAAATTTAATTATTTATCAATTATTAAATTAAAATGCTTTGAAAATTCGATTTGTTAAAAAGTTTTTAATGAGATTGTTTAACAAATTTAATTATATTTTCAGTTGAATTTCAAAAAATTTCTATTAATTCAATAATTTTTTTTAAATTTATTTACATACTACATTTGAATCAGTGACTGATTTTTTTATTTTAAAATTAATTATTTTTAACTAATTCAAATTTAGAGAACAGTATTTAAATATCTATAAAAATTGAAATTAAGAAGCGATTTTTTAAAAACAAATTAAAATAATAATTTTAATTTGGTGAAAAAATTTCCGGTTTGGTATAAAATTCCTGGTTTATTCCCGGTTAGTAGACAGCCTAATAATCCTCTATTTGCTAATTTTTAAATTTAGAAGTAAATTATAATAATAAATTAATTCTTACCCTCTTCGGCTGGCAATTCTGAAACAGAAAATAAAAATAGCGTTATTAATATTCTGTTATTAAAATTTTCTTTTGTAATAATTATTCAGTAATTAATAAATAGAAAATTTCATCAATCGAAAGAAACTAAAAATACGCTTTTCTAAAAATAAAAATATTTCTTTAGAATATAAAAATATTTCTTATATAAAAGTTTGTGTAAACATTTCTTTTCTTATTTTAAAATTATATCTTTAAAACAGAAAATGAATAGATATCTTTTTTTTCAAATTGTAATAAATTCAGTCTACGTTCGTGTATCGATCGCAATTGTATACACTCTAATACCTTGAATTATTCCAATAAAGTATATATTAATCATGTTACTAAAGGTGATAAAAGCTTAGGAGAAAAGGAGAAATTTTTAATTTTTTTTGTTGAAAATTTGGAAAATATTGAATGAAAATATTTCCTGAGAGGAAAATTTTATAACTTTACAATTTTTTTCAAAATAAAAGAATTATAATTTTTCTTCAAAATTAATTTTTTTTTGGTAAAGTATGAATAGAGAAAGTTTTTTTTTTAAAGAACTAACTTTATAATGGAGAAAAAGTCCAAGAGAATTGGTTAATAAATCTTAATAGGTAGTAAATAATTTTTATTGTCACAGGGAGCTAGAAAATATAAATACGTTGATGGGATGTATACAGAAGTAAAAGAGGTGTTAATCCAGTGGGAAAAGTTGTAAGTGGAAGGCCGAGTTTTCACTAGAAGCTGCATGGCTTAAATTTATCACACGACAACGAGTTGTGCAAGGACAAATCCAAAGTTGATAACATTTTTTTTTTGCCCCTGACAAAAAAGAAATGAAAAATATCCATTTTTCTACTATTCTAAACGAGATTTTTCTTTTCCTTTCTATTTTCATATTACATTCTTTTTTTATTTTAAATTATAACTTAAATTTTTTTATTAACATTTTTATTAATTCTAGCAAAGAAAATGGCACTAAAATGCATCTTCAAATTTAGAAAGTAATAACATTTTACTTTCAAAACAGTTTATTCAAAAAAAAAAAAAAAAAAAAAAAATCGAATAAAAGAGTGCAGAAGATTTTTGGGGGCATCAATATAAACAGAAAGAGGAGCGATAAATATACTCGTTTCTGGTAGAAAGAAAAAACAGTTTCAAGCACAAAATTAATCCACATCTTTTAGATTTCATTTAATCAAACGCCTACTGGTTACTAATTTAAAAATCAAAATAATTAATGACATTAATTTTTATAAACTAATTCTGTAAACAAGCCTTATGCAATAAATTTTATTTTGAAACAAAAACAAAAGTTTTATTAATAAAATTTAGTGGAGAGAAGAAAAAGAAAGTGAAAATATAACATGATTGATAAATAACAAATTAAGAAATAAAATTAAAAATATTTTGACGTCTAGAAATAAGAGAATATTGTTCACAATAGTAAATGTATAATTTCCTTTCTACATCACAATTATACGTACAAACGAATTCTTGTGCAAATTTTCTGTAATCAGTCCAAATATTTGGCTAACCACGACATTCAGTTTGATTTAAGATCAACTTTACAAGATCGTTAATGTACCACTAGCACAGTTTATATAATCTCAATGCGTCGTCTTTTTACATGAAATAAAAAAAAAACCCACAGAATTTTGTTTTCAACACATAAATAAAAGCAAAAAATATTCTTATATCAAAATTTTTTGGTCCAAAATTTCATTAAATTATTCAAAAAGCAATATTTTTTGTCGGAGAAAAAAATTTTTTGTACTTTGACATAATGACAGAAAAGGAAAATCTATTTTTACTTGAAGAATTTTCATTTCAGAGAACTTGAATATATATATATATATATATATATATATAAATCACTAATGACCATTATGCAACAAACTTCAAAGATCTTTTACCCCTGAGTCAGAGACGACATTTCGGTGTCAAATTCTATTTTCATTGATTCACATCGTTAACAATTTTTTTTTTTTTTTTTTTTTTTTTTTTTTTGTTAATTTATTAATAATACAGTAGAAAGAATTTAAAATTTAGCAACATCATAGACACGTGTGGCAAAAAAGAAAGAAACCTATTTCCAATTTAAAAAAAAAACGAAAACGATTTACAAAAGTTATGATTGTTTTTGATCATGTAAAGAATAAAAAAATTAGTGTAGTAAATTTTTTGAAAATTATTATCGAAAATTCTGTTAGTCACTTATTGGTCTGTGATAGCTTATTGCAGACATTTCGATAATTAATTTTAAAAAAGTAGCAAAAAATAGTTTTCAAACTGAAAAAAGTAATAAAAAAGTAGCTATCGAAAAATTAAACTTGACGACAAAAAAAAAAAAACTCGTTTTAGACACTTTACAAAACTGACAAAAATTCCATTCTATATTTTATTTTCCTGACATTTTTCCTAATTTTCATCAAAAATATTTACTTCTTTCTTATATCCTGCTAATAAATTCAATTGACCTGCAACGTATTTTATTATTCACGAAAGAATTCAAATATTGATAAAAATAATTCGACTCATTTTATGCAAATTCCAATTTACATTTTAAATAATTGAATTCCTGAGAAAATTCTATTATTCATAAAAAGAATTGAATTTTTACGAAAATTTATACAAAAATTTTTTTAAATAATTGAATTCTCTTTGAAAATTTTATGAAAATAGTAGATATTGAAAATCATTAAATTGCGAAAAGTTTATAAAAATGATTAAATTTTACAAAGAATTCTATTAGAATTCAATGCTGTGTGGTATTTTATAAACTTATTTTTGAAAATAATTGAATTTCTGCGAACGATAATATTAAAATATTTTAAAAAACTTGAATTTCCAAGAAGAAATTTATTACTTTTCAAAATAATTAAATTCTTGTGATGAATATTGTTATTTATGAAAATAATTGAATTCTTGGGAAGAATTTTATTAAAATCTAAAAAATAATTTAATTATTTCAAAAACATTTAATTACAATTGTATTTAAAATAATTGATTTCGTTCGAATAATTTTATTGAAATATTTAATAATCCTAATTGAATTCCTGTGTAAAATTATAGAATTTTTGTAAATAATTGAATTCAACCAAAGAATTTAAAAAAAACAGTTTTTTAAATTATTGGTTTTTTTCAAGGAATTGAAATTCAATTTTTAAGAATAATTACATTTCTCGAGCAATTCTTGTAAAACTGTATTAAAAATAACTGAAATCCTGTGATGAATTTTATTAATTTATGAAAATAATTGAATTATTGCTAAGAATTTTATTAAAATGTTTAAAAAGAATAGAATTTTATTGACAAATTTTGTTATAATTGAAAATAATTGAATTCTTTACAAGAATTTTTTAAACATTGTTTTAATTAATTAATTTTTTCGAAATAGGTATAATAAATATTCTGAAAATTTTACTTTAAATAATAGAATTCTTGTGGAAAGTTTTATTTGTGAAAATAATTGAATTTTTCTATTAATTAATTTAAAATAGTATTAAAAATAATTGAAATTCTTCAATGAGTTTTATTAATTATGAAAATAATTGAATTCTTGCTTAGAATTTTATGAAAAATTTTTTCAAAAAATTGAATTTCCATGAAAAATGTTATTATTAGTGAAAGTAAGTGAATTTTTGTGAAGAATTGTATAACAATTTTTGTAATTGATTTTTTCGAAATTTTTTTGAAAATGCTCTTCTAAATTTATTGAATTCCAGTGGAAATTTTATTATTTATGAAAATAATTGAATTTAGGATGAGAATTTTACAAATTTTTTTTATTTAATTGAATTGTTTTGCGAAATTTTATGCGAAAATAATTGAATTTCGAATATTTGTTGAAAATAATTGAATCGTTTTGAAGAATTTGATTTTAATTTATAATTTTTGAGAATTGTTTTTTGATTTCTATTATTAGCGAATTTAAAGTAGTGGAAATTCTACAAAAAAAATAGAAATAGTAGCTTTTATTGGCTGAAATCTAAAAAAAGTATCCAAATTACTATTTGGGTGATGTTTTTAGATTTCAACCAAAAAAGTAGTAAAAGTAGTAAATAGTAGGTTTTAATAGATGAGTGTGAAGCCTGTTATTGCAGTTGCAGATTGTAAAACACGTGTTGTCATTAATATTGAATTATCCTAAGGGACAGTACATGACGTGGTTATTTGTGTTTCAAGTTGCTGACCACGTCATGACGTGTATTTGTACTTCCGTATGTGAGTAATTCAGAAAGCCATAAAATATAGTGAAAAATTTAGTTTTAATGAAAAATAAACAAAAAACTATTGTTTATTTCTTGATTAGTAAGAATTATAAGAATTTCTGGTGTGATGTCGGAATTATTTTTATTCTATTCTCCCCTTCAATTTTTAACAATAAAAAATTCTCTATACGAACTGCATTATTTGTGGTGAATATTATTTGTACCGGAATTTCCTATTCATTCTTATTGTCACCAAACACATTGTTACAATAATTTAAAAATAATTATGCAAATGGTTATGCTTCTGATAAATTTGTCTCTCTACTTTCTAATTTTTGATTTAGTTAAAAATAATTAAGAAGTTAATACAATTTCTTTTGAAGCGAATATTTGGAATTTGAAATAAGTCACTGACATGCAATTCAGCATTTTACTTATTTATATTCCTAGAAATGTTAAATGAATTGCAAAAAAAAAGAGACAGAGTGTAAGTCTGAATAATAACTTAATATAATTGCAATGTCGACAGTTTATTTATGAATCATTTACCCTAACGAAATAATACGAATTTATGAATGGTCAATCCTATGGCATATTAAAATTTTAGATCCAATAAGGAAGTTGTTTTCAAAAGCTTTTTCTTTAATACCCTGTTGAAAATGTGACTAACAATAAAAGGTTTAATAAGTGTTTGAAAATAGTTATATTCTAGTTAAACACGCATCAATTATTAAGTTCTAAAATAATTTTTCTCAAAGTTCTTTTTTACGAACCTATTTGAATTATGTGACACAA